AAATAGCGGATTGCCGGGTTGTGAATGTGCGTAGCGTTGAGGCTTTGGAAGGCTGATGCACGGGTGTTGGTTAAGTCGTGACATAGAGTGAAAGCTTGTTCACTAAAATTATCGGGCACGCGACGGTGAGCTTCAGTTCCGTGATCGAAGCCTAACAACTCGGCTATCCTGTCTTGCGGAATGTTGAACTCTTGGCCATGCAATCTGAATTTGGCGACACCGGTGAGCTGACTCTGAGAACCGGTACCGGTGATGTAACTGAATGAGCTTAAGAACTCCAGTGTCAGAAGCTCGAATGTGGGCTGAGGTTGACTGCAAAGATCCCACAGACCGACTTTTTGAAACAGGCTTGTAACACTGGCAAGCATTCCGAGTTCCCTCAAACAGACAGTGTTAGGTTGCACACTGCGGTTTTGGAATCGGAGAAAACGTTTTTTTCTCTGAGTTTCTCCAGCGTCACCTTCTCTAAAAGTAATAGAATCCATTGCATGCAAGAGCTTAGAGTGAAGAATGAAAATTTTTGATGTTTTGTGAAAAAATGGTAAAATGAAAGAAATATTGATTCGGGATAAATAATGGAGAGTGAGAATGTGATAGGTTATGATAATGGGGGTTAATGAGGTTTAAAGTTGGTAATGGGGAGGTTACGGAGGTTATGGAGAAAATGGGCAGTTTTGAGGAAGTTATGGAGGAAGAAGAAGAAGAGGCACGAAGAGAAACAGTTATGTTTCTCACGATTCCTGTAATAGGGGTTGTCACGGTCGTGACAGGGGTGTGACGGTCGTGACACGCTATTTAAGCATGTCACGATCGTGAGATGGGTATGACGACCGTGAGGGCACGCTTCGTTGAATAATTTCCAGAAAAACATTTTCTCACTTAATTCACATATTTTATAATAATGTATTTTCTTCACTAACACTCATATTAAATTATAAACACCATATAGTATATAATTTCAACACAGTACTATACTAACTTGCATGGCATGAGAGATTGTATATAATATGAAATAATGCAAGCATAACATTACATAGAATGAAAAATATATAAATTGCTAAAAATGGAGAAATTTTGGAATTAAAGGTGCATTGCATAAAGTAATTGAAAATGAAGTTACATAAACGGAAATTACGGTATGAAATTGTTGCGAAAAATAAATCTAACTAGGAACGAAAACAATGAGAAAAATAAACTAAATCACTTATAGCATTTTCAAAAGCGTTTCTTCAAGTCTTCGATGGCGGAGTTCAAGTGATAGAAATTGTTCGCAGGTTATGTCAGTCAATCCTATAATGTCCAATCACATGCTCTTAATGTCTTCTTTAAATACATTAATGTCAGTTTGGTAAGCATTGAGAGTGTTCATGATGTTTTGTAAGTTGTTAGCATAATCTCCTTGATTCACTTCAGGGGTTTCATGTACTTCTTCAGTGTGGTCAATGTCATGGTAACCAGGAGGTTGTCTCAGGGTCAGTTTCGACATCGGTCATTATATCATCTTTTATCTTGTAAGACTGCGGTGTTTCATGAGTAGATGGATAATCAGGTGGGTTTAACTCATAAAGCCAGTTATCCTTATTGTGAACACTTACTCTAGCATGGTTAGGCAATGTGAACAGGGTTACTACTTCGTTCCGGATTAGGTACTCAAAAGGTGGATGTCCTCAAAAGGTGGATGTCCTAAATTCCTTATGAGATGTCTATTGAAGCAGAAATTAAGATTCATAGGACGGATTGTCCCTAGACGGTTGCACCTGTGCAGTTGGTACCTAAGTCCTATGGCATCAGCAATCATGGTTACAAGACCTCCTACTAATATAGGTAATTCAGGTTCTTCTTGGATACGGGTGAAGGTTTGCATCATGAAAGGTACACCATTAACAGGCTGTCCATTAGTGAAACATGACATAATAAATATTTCATCTTTAGAAACTCCGGTAATGTTTTCTTCTTTTCCAAAGAAGGTGTAGGCAAGAAATTTATGGAAGTAACGGAGAGCAGGATTATGGATCTCATCATTATTCATGTTATTTGGTTCAGGGTGGTAGTTTCCGGTTAAAGTTCCCCAAAAGAAATCTAGCTCGATATCCATCAAATGGTCCACTAGGGAATCCTAACAAGTCAGCTAGTTCTTTATGGTTAAAGTCATATTCTATTCCAAATAGGCAGAAACTAATAAATCCTTTCCTAAATCCAAAACCGCGCTCAGGTATGTAAATTAAGGAGCTAAGGAACTCAAGGGTGAGCTCGCGGTAAGTCACAAACTTATGTTGGATCAATGCATTCTTCCATCCGAGTCGGTTTAACAAGTACATGACCATGCTCCAGTGGTCATAATCACCATCGTATTTCGAAATAGAGGGTTGAGAAAAACCACTATTTCCTTCCGCCATTGCTTACGAACTCTCTCTCCTTTTTTCTCTCGATATGAAGCTCTGATACCAGATTTAACTGACTTGATTTATTGAATAATAGAAAAGCTAATATATAGCTGATTACACAAACTGACTATCGTAAAACTTAGCTAGAAAATAGAAACTAATAAAGACTAAATCAAAATGTATCCAAGTGCTGTGCTAACAGCCCTATAAAGTAGGATATTTATTCTAACAAACTAACCAAGTCATAATTAACCCTATCATTAAATGAAACATTTTAGAGGGAAAAAACACCACAAAACATTTTACAAAATTTCACTACAATAGCAACCTTAAATATTGAAAAACCAATACCTGTAAATATACTATTAACTAACAAAAACAAATTATCCTCTATAATTACTCTAATTCAATTAAATTTATATGGTCATTCCCTATTAGTATAAAATTATATTTATTATTTTATGTTTACAATTGATTGCAAATATATTATATACAATATTAAATAAATATTAAATAAATTTAGCGGTGCTCCAGCACATTATCTTACTAGTTTTATATGATAGTTAAAAGTACTTCAAAACATCATAATAATTAATTTATAATGATAGCTAAATAGTACTTCAAAACATCATAATAATTAATTTATATTTTAAATTTATTGCACAAAAGATACAAAAAATATTCATATTAATATATTTAAAATTATTTGTTAACTATGCATCACTAATTAATAATGATGTGTATTGCACAGGTGGACATCCTTATACCTTCAATTCTTTAAATTTCATTTAAAAAAAGATATAATCCCCCTAGTCTACATCCTAAATTCCTTTTTTAATAGAATTATCCTATAAATAAATAAAACATCAAAATTACATCAGAAATAGAAATGAAAAAAAGATATAATCCCTAATCTACATCCTAAATTCCTTTTTTTATAGAATTATCCTATAAATAAATAAAACATCAAAATTACATCAGAAATAGAAATGAACATCAATATATTAAAATTAATTAATACTATCTTTTATCCCTTCTTAAGATCCATTCCAAATATGAGTCTTCTTTGCCAACTTGTTACCTTTGGATCTCTTTATCCCTCAGATGAAAAATACCGTTGAGAAAAGAAGAATGAAAAGAAGGGGCCAAGCAGAGATATGGTTTACAAACAGGGCATTTTGACTCCAGCATAGTTCAAACCCGAACAGGAGATAAATGGTTGTGAACTGTCACTGCATTACGTACTGCATTCCGTATTAGGTTTTTAGGAAGTGTGCCACAGATTTAGGGATTTATAATTTTGTAAAAAAAAAGGAATGTCTAAACTTTACATCATAAAGTCCTGATTTATGTTTTTTTTGATTCAATTGTTCCCAATCGATATTTCTTCAAACCTTTTTACACTATTTTAAGTTTTTAATCTTGACAGTGAGATTTACTTCTCTATCATATCTATTTTCTTGAAACTTCGAAATTTAGTATGGTGTTAAGTCATGTTATTTATCCCTTCTCAAGTTTTAGCTAACCTTGAGTCAGTCAGTCCTATAAATTTTCAAGTTTAAAAAACTTTTTCCTATTTTCCTTTCCTGGTTTTTTTCTCAACATGGCTGTCAGACCCAACCCGAGGAAGTGTAGTCAATCTCCTCCACTCAACACGATGAGTTAGAAATTGAATGATGTAAATAAATAATAAACTAAATACAAACAAGACCTGTACCACAAGAAAGGATTTAGTTTCCTCAACTTACAATATCTAGTTGAAGTTGGTCAAAACAAGCTCACAATTGAAGTAAGAAGGCAGGGATTGTGCGACAGTGAAACTTCAAGCATACTAGGGAGAATTGCCTGCAAAAAAACCTTACAACATTTCCATCTTAAACCTTTTTCTTCATACCAACCAACCCGCTTCCTTGTAATCCATTTTCAAGCACCAGTTAATTTAACAATTTTTCTAGCATATAATATCATCATATTTCAGGTCAATTTTTAAAAATTCAGAAACTAACATCATGACCTGTTGACCAAGATGCAAATGAAGTTTCCCTTCATTGATTTACTCTGACATATCCAACAGCTATCAACAATTCGAGCATCAATGTACCCAAAGTTTTAAGGAGCATTTCCTGGTGCCAAAAAGTAATTGCAACGCAGAAAGTAACAAAACTTGAAAGCCTCAAGTTAGAAGGCTTAATCAGAAGAAGAAAATTGGAAAAAATGGTATAAAATAGAATAGGAACCATACCATATCAAAAACTCATTCATTGCTTCAGTCTTGAAAAATATGTACAAATTTCACCCCGTATAAAGGGTACACGACTACATGGATATCAATATTAAAAAATCAGGTGCCATACCATATCATCTCATTGTACATACATGCCGCTTCCAATTTTATAACAAATAAAACCTAATGAATCAATTACTGTGTGCTTGGCAATCACATCATTCTTAGTATAAGATCATTAGTGTGGAAAGACACGTTGGATAAGTGTAGGTTAACATAGGCATTGCTCTTGGTTTTTCATGAATCCAGCTCTAGCATAAGTACCTGTATTAGCTGCTAGCACTACCATGAAGGTAAAAAAAGGCTTCTAAACGGTTCTGGGAAGTTGACCTTCATTGAAACCAATCATGTTGAAGAGCAGCTTCAGCAGAAATCCTCTACAAGAAAAATAACCATTTATGTTCAGTTGAATTATTCAGAATCAAGTATCAAAAAGCCAGTAAGACATCATTACATAAATAACATACCTTGTCAGGATCATAAGCTAGAAGCTTAGTCAACAAGTCAAATCCCGACTCAGATAAAACTGGCAAACCAGTGAAAGACGCAGCTGGAAATTTCATCCTTAGCATACTACACCTACAATATCAATAACTTCACGTCAAAGTTGAAAAAACATAGTATTGTTATTCATAAAATAGTGTACTCTATAAATATGACAATATAAAAGGCAAGCTTACCGTTGCTTAACAAATTTTGCTTTAGACCCGGGCAATTTGGAAAATCCTGGCCAAATTTTCTCATCTGGTGTACCAAGGGTTCGAAAAATCTGCACAGATAACAGACAAACAAATGTTACTAGGATGACAAAGTTGTGTTTCACTATAACCTTGAAATGGATATAAATTGATATCAAATTGACTTCAACTAACCTTATCAAGTTGTTCAATTTCAGTTTTACCCCTGAAAAGAGGCTCCCTGGAAAATAATTCAGCCATTATACAGCCCAATGACCACATATCAATTGCTTTAGAGTATTTTTTAGCACCCAGTAATAGTTCAGGTGCTCTGCACACGATAAGAAACCATATCAATATACAGGAAACAGCATAACTCAGGACATAGATAACTTAAATGATGACATTGTACTTATACTCACCTGTACCATAATGTAACCACAAGAGAAGTGTATTTCTTATGCGGGCTGCTGTACTGCCTTGACATTCCAAAGTCACATATTTTCAGCTTCCCTTCTTTATTCAGCAGAATGTTAGAAGTCTTCAAATCTCTATGGAGAATCCAGTTGTCATGGAGATACTTGACACCTTCAAGAAGTTGCTTCATGAAGGATTTTATTTCACCCATACTAAAAGGTTGTGTCCTTACCTCCATTAACTGTTTGAGGTCATACTGCATATGCTCCATTACCATATAAGTACCATCATCCCTATCATCATCATCCACAACTACTTCTTTAACATCAACAATAGAGGGATGATCTAAAGACAAGAGAATATTCATTTCTCTCAAGGCTGACAATGGAAAGCCCTCTCTTTCCTTCTCCATCTTCACCTTCTTTAGTGCTACAATTTCTCCAGTCCTCTTATCCTTAGCTTTATAGACAACACCATAAGTTCCTTCATTTATTTTCTTAATCATTTCAAACTCCGACACAGTTCTGCAACTCTGACACATGTTAAAATTCCTCTGCACATGCATCATATCACTATTTTCAAACGAATCTGATGTAGGATCACTAACCTCATCATCAACATCAGATCTAGTGATTGTGCTACCTGAACAACCACCATCTTCTGAACTTGAACTTCTTTTGCCTTGCTTGTATTTATCATCATCAACCATAGGTGAAAGATCATCAGAAGCCCATTTAGACTTTGTGATGTTCCACCCCTGCATATCACTTTCATCAACAACACAAGAGGAATTCAACAATGACTCACTTAAAACACCTTTGCCTTCAGGACTTTGTTCATCAACAGTTGATCGAGATAGAGACTCAGAAACATGTTTTGCCTTCTTCTTTGCCAGATCCCAAACGATGGGAGAAAATTTTCTTCTCTTTTCTGGCGGTGGCAAAGCTTCGTCCCCATCAAAAAGGATCTCACCTTCTTCTCTATCTTCTTTTGCAGAAGAATCATCATACTTATAATACTCAAACTCCATGACGGAATCATGTTTGTAAGACTCCCTCTTCCCCAAAAAACTTTGTCTCCCTGCCGCCATGGGATTAACAAGCACAAAAGAATTGAGGACAAATATTAAACCAAAACCCTAAAATCCCCAAATTCTCAAACCCTAACTTCAAGGATTTGAAATCAACGAAATTCACAAAACCACAATCAACAATCGGACAAAAAACAAAAACTAGAACAAATTAAAATCTTGTTTACGATATTTGTCTTGTTTCTGAATACAAAGAATAGCGAATAGTTTCAATTACGAAAACAAAACAATCAAAAACAATCGAGCATGGAAAATCGATAATGAATGAGAGGAGAAACAAAACCCTAGACGATGGCTGCGTCTCGGCTGCTATCAGAGGTTTCGAATTGCCTTACCGGCGATGAACAGAACGAAGGAGATAGCCGCCTCAAAAGTCTTCACGCGTTTTTGTTTTTGATTTTGTGATTGCTCTGATAAGGGTTTCGGACTCTTAAATAGAACGGGTTTCTTAGTGGGCTTTATGAAACACGGTCTTACAAATTATTGGATGGATTTTTTAACACGTAGTATTAAATGTTAAATTAATTCTAAAGTTTGAACAAACAAACTCGTCCACCGACTCGTTTAATTAATTAAAAATATTTTGTAATTAAGTGCATGAACAAAATTTAATTAAAATGCATTGCTTGTAAAGAGATTTTACATTATTAATTGATTATAATTTTACTTATTTGTTAGTCAAATTTTACTTTTATTATAGTTGTATATAAAATACTACAATAGATTGATGGTATACATTACAATTAAATCTCATAAAAAATATACTAATAATATAATTAAATTTTTATAAAAATAATTATTTATATAAAAATGATATTTTACGAAAAATTGTTTTTATTTATTTTAAAATAATAATTGAAATATTATAATTAATTTGTATATGATTACTGGTTTAAGTTTTATGTGGGATTATTGTTGTCTAAATAGGTGATGAATTTGTTGGATTTTTAAGTGGAATCCTTACTATTTATAGAAGTGATCGTTTTGCTGGATTCTCAAGTGGAATCCTTACTATTTATAGAAGTGATCATTTTGTTGGATCCTCAAGTGGATCTTTGTCGCTTAAGTGTAACAGCCCAAATTTCATTAAATAATTAATTGTAGTAATTAATTGATTTAGTGGGATTTTTATTAATGTTGGAATTAATTTTTATTAATTGGTATGGATAGAAAATTAAGAAGGAATTGGAGAGGAAAGAAAATAGAGGAAATATAAAATAGAGGAAGAAAGAAAAGAAAGATAGAAAACATTTGGAAAGAAAGAGGAAAGAAGAAGAAAGGAGAGAAAGAGAAGAGAAGAAGAGGAAAAGTGGAAATCATCAAGAACCAACATCAAAGCTCCGATTAATCGAGGTAAGGGTGAGAAACATTGCTATTTAATCATTGTATGCTATTATGTATGTTGGGTTTGGGGTTTGTGGATGTTTTCATCACTTTCTATTTAGGGCAAAAGTTGGATTAATCGGTAGATCGAGGATTTAATCGGTTGAAACTGAGCAATAATGCCGTAGAATAGTCGGGTAACATGTATTGATGTTGTTTATACTGATTTGGATGTATAAGAGAGGGTTGATGATGGATTGGTGAAGGAGGAACAGAATAGGGTTCTGTTCTGCGCAGGTTCGCTGGCTCTCGCCAGGCGAGCGAAGGCGAAGCTTCGCCAGGCGAAGCCTAGCGAATGCTGGCGAATAATTATATTTAAGTCCCAGTGGACTTCGCTGGCGAGTTCGCCAGGCGAAGTTGGATAGCGAAGGTTCGCCCAGCGAAGGTGCTGGCGAATGGTGGCGAATGAAGTCAGTAGCTACTGACTTGGGCTCGCTGGGAAGTCTCGCCAGGCGAAGCCTAGCGAGTGTTCGCTGAGAGAGTTCGCCAGGCGAAGGCCAGGCGAAGGCTCGCTGTGAGGGTTCGCCAGGCGAATGAAGGCGAATGTGACAACATTTTTCTTTTGTTGTGTTGTTCATGTGGAGATGGTTTGGTTGCTCCTCATAGGTTAATACCTCTATGATATGATATAGATATGATCTATTGTGATGATGTGTGCTGTGGGTAGCCTACGGGCGTGAATCCTAGTTGATGTGCGATGCGTATTAATTGTGATAAATAGAAATACATGTGAATACAATGATGAATGTATGTGTATTGTCTAATGAACTTGCGAATGCTTAATGGGTATACAATTATGTGATGAGTATGCATGAGAACATTGTGGATATGTGTGCATGACTTATAATTGTATAAATGGTATTGTGATGTGAATACCTTGATTGTGTGATATATGTTGTATGTACAATCATTGTGTAATTCTTGAAGTGATGAATTATGTAAATGCATGAGATTAAGATGTCGGTCTTAAGTGCATTTGTTGTGGTTGATTGTACATGCATCATTTAGTCAAGAGGCAATGTCTGTTAGTTTCGTGGAAACTAGTGGCTTGTCCCAAACCTAGAAGTGTGGGTTTGAAGGCTTAGAGGACGGGCCTTTGTGGTTATCGGTCTAGAAGTGTGGACCCGGTTTAATGTAAAAACCGAAAAAAGATAACGGGTTATCGGTCTAGAAGTGTGGACCCGGTTTAATGTAAAAACCGAAAAAAGGATAACGAGAGTCGGTACCGCATTGCATGAGTTGCATTGAGTTGTTGAGTCACATTGATATATGACATATGCATGAAGTGATGCTTATGTGTGAATGATGAGATTGTGGAAATTGTAAGTGTATACATAATGTGGGAATGCTTTGTGAATATCCATGTTTGTCTATATATATGTGTGGTAAATATATATGACTAAGAGAATGAAGTGTGGTGAGAAATGTGAATATGTGTTACATGATTACCTATCTATATATATCACATGCTTTGATTATTATGGTTATATTTCTCACCCTTCTGCTGTTTTATAATGCTCTATGAGGCATTACAGATTAGGATGCTGGAGTCCTTTTGTGAAGTTAGTCTTCATTCTTTTGAGTCGGCTGCTCTGATATGTAACACCGGGTAGTTAGACTAGTATAGTCATTCTTTTGTGATACATTGCGATGTATCAGCTGATGTGGTTTTGTAATCTAACTGATATGATGTATTAATCTGGATGACTTATGTGCATTTGAATTAATATTTTGGAACTGATTAAATGATGTTATCTTCCGCTTAAATTAAATGTTGAAATATGATTTCTAAAACTACGAAAATGTTACATATTTTATGGAGCAAAATGTTAAAGAGTTTTATTGGTGAAACTGTGGCATTCTTCTTTTATACCTTATTATAAAACCTTTTTTTTTTACTCTGATAATTTGTATGTGCTTAATTGTTTTATATGCATTTATTTGGGGTATAGAAGGGGGTGTTACAATAGTGGTATCAGAGCAGGTCGGTCCGTCCGGCCAAGTTGTTAGAGTGTTTTTTTTTCCTGTGTGTTATTGATATGCGTGTGATGCATTATCAATATTGGTTGTTCTTACGTGGTTCTGTTGTTGGAATTAGTAAGATGGTTGCAGGAAGGAACGACGAAGCGATTGCGGAGGCATTGACGAGATTGGCGGGGGCAATTGGGCAGAATCCTCCGGCCAATGTGAATGTGAGGAATCATGCTGATGATGGATTCCGTGCTTTGGGGAAATTCCAAAAGAATAACCCTCCGGTCTTCAAGGGAACTCATGAACCGGACAAGGCACAAATTTGGTTGAAAGCTGTGGAAAAGATTTTTCGAGTTATGAATTGCTCGGATGCACAGAAGGTGCAGTTTGGGACTCATATGCTCGAAGAAGAAGCTGAGAATTGGTGGGGTAATACTCGCCAAAGATTTGAGGAAGATGATATTGTGATTACGTGGGATTTGTTTAGAGAAACTTTTCTGGAGAAGTATTTCCCAGAGGATGTGCGGGGGAAGAAAGAGATCGAATTTCTTGAGTTGAAGCAAGGTAATTCGACGGTTGCTGAGTATGCGGCGAAATTTGAGGAGTTGATCAAATTTTGTCCTCACTATAATACTAGTAATGCTGAGAGGTCTAAGTGCCTCAAGTTTGTGAACGGTTTGAGACCCGAGATTAGACAAGCTATTGGATATCAGGAAATCAGGCGGTTTTCTGAGTTGGTTAACAAGAGCAAAATTTATGACGAAGACAGTAGGGCTAGATCCAGCCACTACAAGAAGAAAGGAAAGGGATAATTCAGAGGAAAACCTTACGTAACTCCTGCTGATAAGGGGAAACAAAAGGTTGGTTTTGGCAAGAAGCCAAGTGGGGGAGTTTCTACCCCAGTTAGGTGTTACACTTGTGGTGAAGCGGGGCATCGTGCTCCGGAGTGCAAAAGTGTTGAACTGAGGTGTTTTAAGTGTGGCAAGCCAGGCCACAAGGCTCTAGAGTGTAGAAGTGGTGCGGGTGTTACTTGCTATAACTGTGGTGAGCGAGGGCACATCAGTACCAAGTGCGATAAGCCGAAGAAGAATCAAGGGAGCGGGAAAGTGTTCGCTCTATCTGGACCTGAGACTGCTAGCGACGATCGATTGATCCGAGGTACGTGCTTCATTAATGGTACACCTTTGATCGCTATAATTGATACCGGAGCTACGCATTCTTTTATTTCTTTGGATTGTGTTAGAAGGTTGAATCTTGAGTTGTTTGTGATTGGTGGCGGTATGGTTATTGATACTCCTGCTATGGGTTCAGTAACTACGCCGTATGTTTGCTTGAATTGCCCGTTGAGTATTTTCGGTAGAGATTTTGGGATTGATTTAGTGTGTCTTCATTTAGATCAACTGGATGTCATTCTTGGAATGAATTGGTTAAAATTCAATCGTGTTTATATTAACTGTTTTGACAAAATGGTTATTTTTCCCGATTCGGAAGTTGAAAGGGATTTGTTTATGACGAGGAAACAAGTGAAGGAATCGGTACAAGATGGGGCTAAGGTATTTATGCTTATGGCAATTCTGAGGACTGGTGAAAGTGAAGAAATTGATGCTTTGCCCATTGTTAGAGATTTTCCGGAAGTATTCCCTGAA